TCTCTTTCTGGCTTGCTTCACTTAGAATGACATTCTCCAGGGACATCCATGTTGCTGCAAATGGCATTATGTTGTTGGTTTTTATGGCTGAATAGTATTCCATTGTATAAATGTCAAGGGGGTGGGGGGTGGGATGAGACAGACTGGGAGTTCGAAATTTATAGATACTGACAGGCATATGTAGAATAGATAAACAAGATTATACTGTATAGCACAGGGAAATATATACAAGATCTTGTATAAAAAAATGCGACAGTGAATATGTGTATGTTCATGTAGAACTGAAAAATTGTGCTCTGCACTGGAAATTGATACAACATTGTAAAATGACTAAAACTCAATAAAAAATGTTAAAAAAAAAAGGAAGGAAGGAAGAAAGAGGGAGAGAAGGAAGGAAAGGAGAGGAAGGAAGGAGAAGAAGGGAGAGGCCTGGATATCCCTCTCTGATTCAAACCACTTGTGTCTCTGACTTAAGCGTTGCTCAGAGACCCACATCCAGGGCTGAATCCAAGGACGAAAGGAAGAGGCTTACTAGTTACCTTGAAAGTTTGACTATAAGTTAATGAAGGCCATCTCAGACCATGAACTGGGCTCCTGCACCTTGCCCACGGAGCGCACAGGCAGAGGTCAGCCCCCAACACAGTGGATTTCAGGCCGAAGGTGACTGTAGGCCTTTGCGTGGGTGTGTTGCAGAGACAGACCCGGTGTGTGGTCAGGGGCTATGAGTCTGGAATGAAGAAACCAGACCGGAGCAGCTTTCTTTCTACCACAGCTAGCTGCCATCTGAAGCATGAGCATGAAGACCCTCGTGGCCAAGAGCAGATCAGTGGGACCTCCTGAGAACCCTAATGAAGGCTGCCGGTGGCTCAGAAGCCAGAGCTGGCTTTCCCAAGGCCAGTCATTGAGGCTTAGGGCTGAAGGTGGGGTGTTGGGGAGGAGAGTGAAGCTGGTCCTTCCATTCATCCTTGGAAGAGTCCTACTCCAACTCTGGGGGTTACTTTAGGACAATTAGGGGACTCTTTGTTCTCCTGTCCTAAATGTCAGGTCACCCAAGGGTACAACCCATGAAAGGGTACAGCCTTCTCATGACCTTGAGCTTCTCCTTTGGCTTTGTTGAGTTGGGAGCTCATAGTTTTCTTCCTTACACTGCATATTTCACAGAGGGCATGTTGTGGGGGTCGAGGGGTGAGCCCGGGGCTTGGTACCCCGCCTCCCAGACTCCACCTGCAGGCTGAATCAGAGGCTCTCTGCCATTCTCTCTCCCCCAAGACAAAACGCGGGCCATCTTTTCCCAACTTGTAAAAATTTAAAATCAAAACAGCTAGCAGATTGTTTTCTCAACTTCATGATTTTTGCCTATAAAATTTATTAAGCTTTTGGCAAGGACTGTCATCTGTCAGCTCCTGAGCATGAACTGCTGAGAATAAAAAAGGAATAATGGGAAAACTCGGACGTAGCTTATCATGGGTGGTTCAATAGCATGTTTCTCTATGGCACGTGTGGTCTTGGCTGCGATTTTACAACGCATACATATAACATCACCCTAGGAAAATTGCTCCTGAAACCTATGATGGAATTGAACACATAAATATGTCATGCTATTCTGCCGAGAGAAGCATGACTTTCAGGTGTGTTTCCACCTCGCAGGTTTAGAAGCAGCTCTCCAGGCCCCCTCTCAGCTGGACGGCAGAGTAGATGGAGGTGCCAGAGGGGACTGAGGGCCAACCGAGTGTGTCCATTTCTACACCAGTTTATAAATGAGCCATAAATTGTACTCCTTAAGATGGCTTTAGACTGCTTCTTCTGGGGGATAGGTGGAGAAAGGGCCTGTTAAAGTATAGACTTTCTTTTTTTAATAGAAAGGAATCTTTTTTGGATGATGAAAACCCTCAGGTTTAAAGAATCAGCCAAGAAAGCCAACAAATGAGGTGCAAGTCCTCAAAAATTACTGCCACCTATAGCACATGAAGTTGTCCCAGAACAGTTCCTCTGGTTGCTTTATAAACACACATCCCACACGTGGGTTAACCAGAAGGGTTCATTCTGTGAGCGTGGACAGATAATTTGCTGTTTGGCCAAGAGTAGGCCAGTTAGGGAGCAGGGTTAGAAGTTGAGGGATCTAAGAGCATCATAGGGTCCAAGTGTATAACTTATACATCATGATAAGTATGTATGGATTAGTGAAAATTAAAAGTGCCTCAGTTGATCCAGGCAGTTGGCACTTTGGCTCAGGGGCTAGAATGAAAAGGTGGACTTGAGTTAGTCTCTGGGCCACAGCTCAGTGTCACACCTATCTGCTCAGACTGCTGGGGCATCTTCTCTTTTGCCTGCATCTTCAAGTCGCTTTCCCTTTCTGGTGGATGGGACCAGGCACGAAGAGAGAAAGGGAGTGAGCGCTTATGGAAGCCCCTGGGAGGGCCTTGCTTTGTCATGTCATTTTGCCACCGTTAGAGACTTCCTTTCCTGGGGACCTTCCCTGTGGAAGTCAACAAGGAGCTAATTGAGAACTGTTGCTCCACCAGGGCAAGGTGCCCTTTCCCTCTGACTCTGTGGGTTTGCCTCTCAGAGAGAGGGTAGGGCAAGGGAGCAGACTGGGTCACTCACTTTGAAATTTGTCATCTGTCTTGAGTCCTGCTAATTTGGTTCAGCACTGCTTTTGAAGAAGTTCCATTTTTCATTTGCGAGGTGATGAGACATGACATAATTTTTAAACATGTGTATCACACATGATTAAGAGGGAGAAAAGACCCAGCCATCCTTTCAAGCCACCCTGTATCTTGACTTGTGCTCGAGGATACACTGATCTGTGAAGAATGCGCCAGGCGTGGTGGAAGTTAGAGGCCGACAGAGCTCGCGCTCTGTCTCCATTGTTCCTCAGAGCAGAAGGATACCCGCGAAGTGTGTTCATCAATTGTGATGAAAGGTGTGGAACGTGCTGCTAGGACCTGTGTTTGCTGGATATACTTTGTTACTATTATTTTCAATCGTTGCTGCATTTCTTTTTTTTTTATTTCAAAGGTTTTTTTTTTAATTGAAGCATAGTCAATTTACAATGTTATGTCAGTTTCAGGTGTACAGCATAAGGTTTCAATCATACATATACACACATATATTCCTTCTCATATTCTTTTACATTTTCATTGTAGGTGACTACAAAATATTGAATAGAGTTCCCTGTGCTGTACAGTAGGAACTTGGTGTTTATCCATTTTATATATAGTAGTTAGTGTCTGCAAATCTCAGACTCCCAGTTTATCCCTTCCCCCCACAACCACCCACCCCCCCGTAACCGTAAGTTTGTTTTCTATGTCTGTGAGTCCATTTCTGTTTTGTCAATAAGTAGGACCTTGTGTTTGACTGTTAGACCAACTCACGTACAAGGTGTTGTGCTAAATATCTTATTTTCTTTTAGGGTTAATACAGAGACCTAGAGGGGGAGTAAGAAGGGAAGAGGGTATTGAGCAACTTATTCTGTGCTCATTTATTCTGGGTTAAGAGAGAGGCACAGTGGTTTGCGGGGAAGAAGGGACTGGCCTGGGAGCCTGTGTGGAAGGCCTGTGGGTCTGTGTGGGTGTCTCCCCGCCCACCCCCACCATCGCAGTTACGGCTGCTGCTGCTTGAGTGCCTGCCATGTTACAGACACTGTTCTAGGCGTTTTTCATATAAAAATCATTTGCTTGACAAATATTTGCATGCCAACCACGTGCTCGCAAATATTAGAGAAAAACCAGGTTGTCACACAGCCTGTAGTCACTCTGGTGTTGGTGTTCGGAGGTGGGAGAAGGGGAGGGTGGGGCTGGAGAGAGACGGACCATGGTGATGAGGAAGGGGCGGCCCCTGGTGCGCTCCATCAGTGCTAGGGGAAAACGAGGAAGTGCTGTATCTCCGAGGCACCCTAGGGTGGATACAAGCCTTCCAGTCTATGTGTATCTCCCGAGCCTCTGTTCATTCCACTGCTTTGGGGTTCAGTTTGTTTCTCTGTTATGCAAAGGCAGAAGACTGCATGGTTTATGATTCTAATACAGGCCCACCCCTGCCCACCCGTACACACACACAAGCACAGTATGGGGCAAGCGAAGGTGGTGGTGGAGGTGCCCTGGACCACTTCATTCTGACAGGTGGCAGCTCTTGGGACAGTTACAACTGCTGGTGCTTAACGCAGGCCAGCTGGAGCCCTGCCGGGGCTATATGTGTTGAACCAGAATGTTTCCTCCCCTTTGTTCTTCCAAATAGCTCCCATTTTCCGGTCCCCAAACAAAAGCATGATCCTTCGCCTGTCAACTGTTAAATTATCAAAGGAGAATGAACATTCATCCCAATAGGGTATGAATATATGCACGTTTCCGGACTTGAAATCCTTAAATGGTAATAAGGGAATCAGATATCACAGTGAAGAATACGTTCTTTAATTAAGTTAAGTCAGTGTTTGTGTGTTTTCATTATAATGGATAAAATTATGTGTGTTTCTGCAAATGTGAGGGAGAGAGAGAAAGAGAGAGAGTAGAGGTTACAGTCTGGCCACCTCCCTCTGTCCAGGATATCTGCCCTTGGCCTTTCCTACCTCAGGCCCCATTTGGCATCTTTGGCTCCAAAGTAAGCAACAAGGAAGCAGCTCTGGGCCCCTTGCACCACTGGGAATTCTTAGCATCAGTGCTTTCTCTCCTGCACAATTTTCCCTTTAAGCATGAGAATGCGTGTTTTGCTCTGAGGTTGGGTGTGCGTATGGGTGACAGTGACAGAGTTGCCCTCGTTGTCAGCACAAGCAGAGGCACTTGGGATGCTTGAACCCCACCTGGACGGTGAGACCCACGACCTGCTGGCCACACTGGTTGTCTTGAGGGTGGAAACGGTAACTTGGCTGGGCTTTGAAGAACAGGTGTGGACTTCAAAATCGTTGGGTGGCAAATATCAGCAAGAAAGATAATCCAGCCACGAGCAGGCGAAGGATCGTGCTTTTGTGCTCAGAGTTAGTTACAAAGGATCAGAGACGCTCACTCCATAGGTCCATAGTTCGGACCAACTGGGCAACCAGGCCAAAGAAAAGGCTTTCTGCTCACTTGCTTAGAGAGCCAGCAGATCCCTGTGTGAAACTGCATCTGTGTCTTTCACATTGTATACCTGTTCCTTCTTTAATTCTCCCGTCTTTTCTGACTGTGAGCATCTGCCCCTCTGGCTCTTTTAAAACTGCCCCAGCTTCCCCCACCCCGTGCCCTCTCAGAGGTCCCCCTTCTCTAGGCAGCCGCTGCTTTATTGAGCATCTCCTGTGTGCCGGGCACTGCCAGGAGCACAGGGATATTGGGGACATTGTGTTCTCAAGGCCAGGAAGTCAGCTCCGACATGACCCATCCAAGAACCAGCACTTGACACCCACGGGTTTTAACGTATTTCAGAATTTACTTTTATCCGTGAAAATAAGCACCATCTGAGATCTCTATGGAGAAAGCAGGACAGAGCCTCGGGGTCCACACCACCGTGCAAGGGCAGCACTTCACTTCAAATGGTTGTCTCCAGCATAGGAAGTCTTACTGGGGTGTTACGTCCCCTTTGTGGCCTTGGTCTTGGCTGGGCGGTCCTGAACGTGGAGGGTTTTCCTGCCCTCCCCTGAGTCCCAACCTTCATGAGCCTCCTCCTCCGAGCCCTGCTGAAGAGCCACCTCCTGCACCAAACCCTCTGTGACCTTCACACTGCGAAAGACAGACCTCACTCACTCCGTGCTGACGTGTATTCTTATGCTTGTGTCTAACTGCTCCGTTCCGTTATAAACCTCTTGAGGGCAGCCTCCCATAGACCCAGCTCCTGGTACCTGGTTAAGGCTTAAACAATACTTGTGCCTTGATTGAGTAAAGACAATATACTTCTGCTCTTGAAATGTTTGCTAGACAGATGTTTCACGGTTATTGTTTGGAGTCCATTGCTAGAGTGATTCCAAAGACCTGCATCCTCTTTGCTTGCAGGAGACGGACCCATGGAGAGTAATGATAAAGGATTTCCACCCTCAGAGAGTGAAATGCATTTCCTAAAAAGCTGCATGTGAATGGAGTTTTTAAAAATCACATATTTAGTATAAAGGGGACTTTCCAAGCAAATTGCTAGGCATTCTGACAGGCAGAGTAAACATTTTCAGGTGGACAAGGATGATGTGCTATATTGTGACCTAATTAAAAGCATGTTCAAGTCCACCCTAAGAATAAGTGTCATGCTTTGGAATTTGGAATTTGAAAGACACAGCCGTCATTGGGTGATTAAGTCTTTGGATAAACAGTGATGTGAGTTGGATAAAGAGTGTTGAATTGCTGTTTCTAATGATTTTTGTTTTACTCATAGGAGTCAAGCCCTGGTCAAACATCATGGAAATCCTGGAGGAAAAGGATGGGGTCGACACGGAGTTGTTGGTTTATGCAATGACGTTAGTGAATAAGGTTGGTTGGCGTTTGTTGTGGGTTGAATTGTATCCCCACCCTGCCCCCCAAAGATGTTAAAGTCATAACCCCTGGTACCAGGGAATGTGATCTGATTTGGAAATGGGATCTTTGCAGATATAATCAAGTTAAAATGAGGTTGTTGGGGAAGGAGTACTGATCTCAAAGGGCTGGTGTCCTTACAAGAAGAGGGAAAGAGAGAACGTAGAGGGAAGACAGTGTATACACACGTCCCAGAGGAGGACAGCCGTGTGAGTCAGGGACAGAGACTGGAGTGATGCGTCTCTAAGACAGGGAACCCCCCAAAATGCTAAGGACTGTCAGCAGCCAGTCGGGTAAGGCAAGGATGGGTCCTCCCGCAGAGCATTCGGAGACAGCATGGCTATGCCGACACCTTGACATCACACTTCTAGTCCCTCAAACTGTGAGGGAATAAATTTCTGTTGTTTTAAGCCACCCAGTTTGTGGTACCTTGTTGCAACAGCCCGAGGGAAACAGTATATGTGGAAAGCTAAAATTTGCCCTCTGAATCAGAGCCACATCACGTGGACCCCATTGTGGTGGCTGGAACCTGCTTCAGCGTGCTTTTTTTGCAAGACTAAACTCTACACCCACGCGTGGTGTGTGTACGTGTGTGTGCATGTGTGCCGGTCACTTACATGTGAAGGCCTGCGTATCTGCAAGCTTTCTCTACTTTGGTCTTCCTGCTAAAACCAGAAAGAGGACAGTGAGAATTTTCCTATCAAGATGTCCCCTTAAAAAAACATTTTTCCGTAAGAATACAGGGGAGCAAGTTTTACTCGAAAGAAATGGTTCACAGTTGGGCAGAAAGCAAAGCAGTCTTATTCCGCGGCTTACGGAATTCTGGAGATCAAGCCTTTGTCGGCTTCACTTGCAAAAATTTTCTCCCATTCCGTAGGTTGTCTTTTTGTTTTACTTATGGTTTCCTTTGCTGTGCAGAAGCTTGTAATTTTCATTAGGTCCCATTTGTTTATTCTTGCTTTTATTTCCTATCGCCTGAGTAGACTGTTCTAGGAGAACATTTTTGAGATGTATGTCAGATAATGCTTTGCCTATATTTTCTTCTAGGAGGTTTATTGTATCCTGTCTTATGTTTAAGTCTTTGATCCATTTTGAGTTTATTTTTTGACTGCTGGTGGCAAGGTGAGGATTCCTGAGGGTGGGTCCCTTCCTCCATCTGTGATGGTGACCTCCG